TGCCACAGACGCGGATGACGATGGGAGCTGACATTTATGAAGCGGGCTTGTTCCTCACCCCTCAGGCGGAAGGTTTCTTGTCGAAAAGTTGGCGCAAGGAAGCCAAGTTACATTTTCCACACCCATAGGCTTTAGGTCCTGAAGTTTCCAAAAAAATGGATTTGCCTAAACCTCTTGTAGGGAGTGTTGCAACTCAGGATAGTTTTCAAACTTGATGATCATGCTAGTTTTCACCTTGCTCCAGACACCAACACACCAAGGCTGTAGGTTTTTGTAGTTTAATGAGAAAAGCAAAATCAAAACAAAGAAATAGAAATGCAATAGTTCCATAGGCAAAACAGAGACTTAAATGTAAAGGCAAAGTTCCCAAGATCCAAAGGCAAAAACATGAAGCATAATCCTTTAGCAATGGTCACACAAAGTCCATGGTAAAACAGTTGAAAACGAGACCCAAATCCCAGACTCAGGAAGTCAAAAGCGTGCTGCAAAAAGCCAAGGAAAATCTCCAGAAGTTAACATGGGAAGAGCAATGTTGGACTGACAACAACTGCCGGTCAGCTACAAGACTAAATACCCTTTGCGAACATGAAAGCATTGCGTTGACCTTGGGCCCCTTTGGCTTCTTGCTTGCTGGCCAAGCGAGTGCTTCTCCGAAGCCTTAATTGCAAACGATTTTGTCTGCTCATTAATTCATTATCTGCAAGGTTATGCAACCCCTTATCTGGGTCCAGCTGGGACGGATCCTCCACCTGGCCGTGTGGGATTTCACTCTCGCTATCGGTCTCTCTAACGAAAGGAACATTCTTGGGAATTGACTTGCAGTTTCTCCTCCAGCAGCCACACTATCAGCCCCGTCTGAAAAATGTACAGGAATCTGTAACCCATCAGCCTCCTCGTCATCCTGCTGATAATCATGGGAACTATCTGGTAAGAATTCAGAAAGCACACCATCATCCCCACACCTCTCTGGGACATTCTCATGGGAAACTACACTTTGAACAGGGATCTTCTGGTCATTCTCTGCATCAGTATCAGAAGCCTAACCATTGCCATCTTGAAACTCATTGACATCACTCCCCATATCCAAAGCAACCTGATCCCAGAACACAATCACAGATTGAGCTCCATCACTTCTGACTTGATAAACAAATAAATACCTCTCAGCACTAAGAGAGAAAAACGATGTATATGACTTTGATAATCCTAAAGTAAAATTATATGCATAAGGCATACAGATGGCAGGCTATAGAACTCCAATATGCTGATGACAACATCAGGTTTCCGCCCGGGTCATGGGATGGAGGCAGTCCTGGTTGCCATTACGGATGAACTCCGTCGCCAGTCTAACAACGATGGATCCGCGCTACTGGTACTTCTCGACCTTACCGCAGCGTTTGACACCGGCGACTACGATCTAATGATTCACCGTCTTGCCATGTTCGGAGTTCATGGTCACGCCCTCAATTGGTTCAACTCATTTATCTGGAACCGGAGTCAACGCGTGGAGTACATGGATCAAGTCTCCGATATATCCCCCCTCCTATGTGGGGTCCCCCAAGGTGTCATTCTCTCTCCTCTTCTCTTCAACATCTACGGTAGACCCCTTGCTAGTTTGGCTCGGAGTTTCGGCCTGGACTGCTACCAATATGCGGACGATACCCAACTCCTTCTGCGCCTGGAGCCGGGAGCAACGTCAATTCCAGACAATTTCACCCAATGTCTGGAAGATCTGTCAAATTGGCTACGTGCTAGCAGACTGAAGGTGAACCCAGCGAAGACTGAGATTCTCTGGCATGGCGGCCCAGCAGGTCTGACTCCTCCGTTGCCCACCTTCGATGGTGCCGCCCTATCTCCATCAACCACTGTTAAGAGCTTGGGTGTCGTCCTGGATTCGCAGCTGACAATGGAAGCTCAGGTGGCTGCTGCCAGCAAACAGACCTTTTTCCATCTACAACAAGCGAGGCAACTGGCACCCTCCCTATCTGATGAGGCTCTGGCAACGGTCATCCATGCCATGGTCACGTCTAGGCTGGACTATTGCAACGCCCTGTATGTTGACCTTCCGATGTCTACGACCCGAAAGCTCCGTATTGTTCAGAATGCGGCAGCCAGGCTACTCACAAGAACGCCCATGAAATGCCATAGAACAGCAGTGCTGCAGCATTTGCATTGGCTTCCAACTGAGTCCCGTGGCCTGTATAAGATGCTAGTTCTGACCTTTAAAACTCTTTACGGCCAGGGTCCATCGTACCTTAGGGACCGCCTCTCCTTCTCCCATCATCGGAGGTCGCAACGACCAGCCCAACGTGACTTACTCCATATACCGGGTCCTAGAGAAGTGCCCTTGGAAAGGACCAGGCGCAGGGGGGCTTTCTCTCTTTCTGCCCCTCCTGCCTTATGGAATTCCTTAATGGCCGCCCTACATGAGAGCCATGCGTGACTTCGGGCCTTTTACTCTCGCACTTAAGACCTGGCTTTTCACTAGAGCATTCGATCTCTGTTGATTTTTAATTTTTGTATGTATGTATTTTATCTTTTGTAATTTAGCTGTAAATCGCCTAGAGCATTCTCGGATGGAGGGCGATTAATAAGTTATTAAATGATGATGATGATGATGATGATGATGATGATGATGATGATCTGTGCGCATTCAGAAGAAGACCTACAAGCCACTCTAATCACCTTCGTGGAAGCATATGAGAATATTTCAACTACTGGAGTATAACATGGTGAGAACATAGTCAAGACCAGTCAATAACAACCAACCAAATAATTGATGAATCAATCAAAAAAAGGGAGGTGCTATATGCTGCTTTCCCCCCAAGAGTTTATCTAGAATGTTTTTCAAACATTCCCACTTTCAAGATTCTGGCCCACTTGGCAATCCTAAGGATTGAGCCATGTGCTTTGGGGGTGAAAAAATGACTCACTTTTTGTTTTCCAAAACCAGATTGCAGATCCACTTATGGTACTAGCTCCCTTTGTTAAGTATTCGTAGACTTTTTTAGCCCTCATTTTCCGTTGCGTTGCTGTGTAGCCCAAACAACAACCCTTTTTGTCTGCTGGCATGGGGCGGAATCAAATGGTTACTGACCATGTGATCATTTAAATAACATACAGAATCTCATTGTTTCATTTTTTTCCAAATGGAAATCTTACCCAAAACATGACGTTATCTGAAATACTATAGACAGCTATTGGTCACGTCCTACCAAGGGAACAACCCACCCAGTCACAGCGAATTGCAAAAGATACCTCTTTGCTTGCAGAGTTTGATGGCAGACGAGTCGGGGGGTTGAGGATCTTTGGGGGATCTTTAGCCTTCTGCTTGTGATCATGTTGGAGAGATAGCAGCTGCGTTTGGTCCTTGGGAAGAGTCCGGTGAATCTTTTTACCCTGATGTATTTCTTCAAACTTTTTCTAGAGTTGGGAAAAGGAAAGAACCGTTGTGTGAGGTTCCTTTGACTTTGATAAGTTTAATATAACGCACTGGCACCACCTAAAATATGAACACTTGCTCACCAAAAATATAAAGCCGTCAAAAGGACATGGGATTGTGGTTGTTGAAACAGCTGTTGCAATGATGCCCCCACTTTGTAAAGACGCTACCACTTTGTAAAGACGACACCAGAAGCAGTAGAGCCGTCACTGATTTATCAGGGTCTCCTACTATTTGTAATGGATTTATAAAATTGATAAGACAGCTAATAGCTTGTAATATTTTGTTGGGCTTTCTTTAATGTGTAGCGTGGCTTGACTTGAAAGTATTCGTAACAGAGACTTGGCTTTAAGAGAAACTGTAACAAGTTTATTGAAGTATAGAAAAAGCTTAATGGTTTCAATGTTTCTTAACTCCTAGAGGCACATTTCTTTAGCGGTTTCATTTATAACATTTATTTATTTATTATTTGAACTTATATGCCGCCACTTCCCTGGGGCTCGGAGCAGCTTACAAGAATGGCTAAAATCTAACACAATTTAAAAACAATTTAAAACAACTTAAAAACAGCAATATCAAAAATTAAAGGCCTGTCGAAACAGATCTGTCTTACATGCCCTGCGGAAAGCTGATAAGTCCCACAAGGCACGGACTTCAGGTAGCAGAGTATTCCAGAGTGATGGTGCCACTGCTGTAAAGGCTCTGCGTCTGGTTGCTGTTAGACGCAAGGTCTTGACACTGGGAATTTCCAATAGATCTTGGTCCTCAGAATGGAGGGATCTCTGGGGTAGAGGGTGAGGTGGTCCCTCAGGTACATCGGCGCCAGACCATGCAAGGCCTTAAAGGTGAGTACCATCCCTTTGAAAGTGATCCGGTGCTCAATGGGTAACCAATGCAGCTGCAGGAAGATTGGTGTTATGTGGCATCTCATCGGAATTCCCACAAGAAGCCGAGCAGCTGCATTTTGTACCAACTTGAGCTTCCGGATCACCAACAGAGGAAGGCTAATGTAGAGGGCATTACAGTAGTCCAGTCTTGAGATGACCGTGGCCTGGATCACCATAGCCAGGTTGTCCCTGGACAGGGAGGGGCCCAGCCGTCTAGCCTGCCGCAGGTGAAAGAAGGCGGTTCTGCTCACGGCAGAGACCTGGGCCTCCATCGTCAGCAGAGGGCCCAAAAGGACTCCCAGACTCTTTACCAACGGTGACGGGCGTAGCGCCTGGCCATCCAGGGTAGGCAGCTAGATATCCCCACTGCTCGGTTGACCCAGCCATAGGATCTCTGTCTTTGCTGGATTCACCCTCAACCTGCTGGCACGCAGCCATCCAGTACGGCCTCGAGGCACTGATGGAAATAATCGGGTACAGAGTCCGGTCGGCCTTCCATCTTCAGCACCAGCTGAGTGTCATCGGCGTACTGATAACACTCCAGCCCAAAACCTCGAACCAGCTGAGCAAGTGGTCGCATATAGATGTTAAACAACAGAGGGGAGAGAATGGCCCCCTGAGGAACCCCACAAGAGAGAGGGGGACCTCCCAGAGACCAGGCCTCCCCTCTCCACACGCTGTCCATGATTGTGAAGAAAGGAGGACAGCCAGTTTAAAGCTCTCCCCCTGACTCCAACAGCAGCAAGGCGCTGGGTCAAGAGATTGTGGTCGACTGTGTCAAATGCTGCTGTGAAATCCAATAACACTAGCAGCGCCGACCCGCCCTGGTCAAGCTGGCATCGAAGGGGATCCGTGATGAACACGTGCTCACCAAAAATATAAAGCCGTCAAAAGGACAAGGGATTATAGTTGTTGAAACAGCTGTTGCAATGATGCCACCACTTTGTAATGACGCTACCACTTTGTAAAGACGACACCAGAAGCAGTAGGGCCGTCACTGATTTATCAGGGTCTCCTACAATTTGTAATGGATTTATAAAATTGATAACACAGCTAATAGCTTGTAATATTTTGTTGGGCTTTCTTTAATGTGTAGCGTGGCTTGACTTGAAAGTATTTGTAACAGAGACTTGGCTTTAAGAGAAACTGTAACAAGTTATTGAAGTATAGAAGAAGCTTAATGGTTTCAATGTTTCTTAACTCCTAGAGGCACATTTCTTTAGAGGTTTCATTTATAACATTTCATAAAACAACTCTTGAGAGGACTGTTCCTTCCATTAAACAGGTTTAAAACTTATTTTTCTTCAAACTGAGTTTCTTCCCTTAACAATTCACTTCAGGTACCAGCTTATTCTTTTCCTGTGTTATTTCTGCTGCAGTAAAGATGCTTACTGGGGTTCTCTCCCCCTTTTTGCTCATATACTAACTACTAATCTAAATAAGTCAACTTGACCTATCTAAACCACACAGGCTAAAAGTCTAAACCCGCTTGGTTCTCAACACAGTAGAAACAGCCTTTCCCTGTAGTTCTCTAACTACAGACTGCTTCCCCGATTCTCAACACTGTAGAACCAGTCTTTTCCTGCAGTTCTCAGACTACAGACTGACCATTTTAAAATGTCTGCCCTGCCAAGTGGCAGTTGGCTCCGCCCCTTTTTCCAGTTATGCTATTTTAAATACTTAACCTTTTAAACAGTTATCTATAATTATACATAACTGTAGGTTAACGTTCACATACCTATTACCTATAATGATAGAATAAAATAATAAGTGGAATAACATGTAATAAAAATAATAATAGAGTAAATAATGGATATTTAATAATAATAGTAATAATAATAAAGTAATAAATGTAATAATAACAATAATAGAGTAAAATAATAAATGCAATAAATATAATAATAGAGTAAAATAATGTAAATGCAATAATAATAATAGAGTAAAATAATAAATGTAATAAAAATAATACTGATAGCAGAGTAAAATAATAAATAACCTTGACTCGAGTATAAGCCGAGGGGATTTTTTTCAGCCTAAAAAAAGGGTCTGAAAAAATAGGCTTATACTTGAGTATATATAGGATCTCTACCCTACACTTGAAGCCTATGCCATGTGATGGACGTAGTAGGTTGTTGTTTCATAAGTGGGAGGCTGAGTAGAATTTCACGCATGTGATGAAAGTGGTAGGTTGAGAAAACAGTTCCGATCCGTGTGCTGACCAAACCTCACCTGCAGGTTGTCCAGTCTGACTCCCTCCGCTCTACGTTGCCCTTCTTCGCCGTTCCTCCTGCTGTCTTTCTCCTTTTCGGTTTTGCTCAGAGCGGCTTTGATCTCCGGACATCTCCTTTCGAGGTCGAGATGCTTCCGCAGCTCTTCTCTCTTCTGGTGCTAAACACATGCCAGGAACTTACATTGGTTTCATTTCATCTCTACACAAAAGCTGCTCATAAAAGGAACCATTATTAATGTTATACTGCTGCTATGGGTTGGGAAACCACAGGGTCCTATGCTCTGTGGATAGGCCTCGGTTTGCAATAGCAAAGAAGATATTCACGTATAGTGGGCCCTGGGTATCTATCTGCTGGGGTTCCAGGGTCCCCAGTGGATGCCAAAATCCATGGTGTCTCTTGTCTCATTGTGTGCACTAATGGGGCAAAATGATGTCTCTTAGATAAAAAGGCAGAACCAAGGTTTGCTTTTGGATGTTTTTTTTTAATCAAGCAAAGGATGATTGAATCCACAGAAGCAGAATCTATGGATATGGAGGGTCAATTGCATTTTACTGCTGCTGAGATGCTAATTAGGATAAGATTAATAAATGTGTGTGTGTCGGGGGAAGGGCCTAGGATGGGTCATTAAGAGATTTGGATCCCATTTCAAAGACCTCTTCTACACTGCCATATAATCCAGATTATCAAAGTAGATAATCCACAGTATCTGCTTTGAACTGCATTATATGAGTCCACACTGCCATATAATCCAGTTCAAAGCAGATCATCTGGATTTTATATTAAAAACATTGAATGTTTGCCTATCTCTGTATGTTGTAATCCACTCTGACTCCCCTCGGAGAGATAGAGCGGAATATAAATAAGTTGTTGTTGTTGTTGTTGTTGTTAGGCAGTGTAGATGGGGCCTAAGATATTGCAATATGTGCAAAACACAAGTAGGCCAACATCAGAACAATATCTGAAATCCAAAACATTTCTGGTCCTGAGCATTTTGGAAAATATATAAATAGAGAGTGAGAGAGAGGTGACAGGCGGATCCGAGTCCTACATCCTCCAGCTTTTTCCTCTGCAGTTTCTGTTCCACGATCCGCTTCTGTCTCTCCTCCGAGAGCTGCTTTTTGTACTTCTCCTGATCTTTCAGCTGCTGCTGCTGGACCTGCTGCGGTTGGCGCGGAGGATCAGAACGACTTTTGTTCTCCTGCTGAAGCCTCAGGAATTCGCGCCGGAGGGTGGATTCACCGGGGAGATTAACAATGGAGCTTAATTTTTCGCAAAGAGAGAAAAAAGGAAATATCTGTTTGACTAACTACGGTATTACGAATGCAGAGCAAACCCAAGAGGTGCCACTTGGGGAACAGTCGGATCCGACCGTTCTAGAAAAACCTCCCCGGAATCCCTTCCCTCCCCGACTCCACTCTGTATTTACAAAGCTCGCTCTGTTTTAACAACTCTTCAGAATCCAAGTTAAAGCTGATTATCTGTTTGTTCACTGGAGACATCACTCCACTGTTGCCTTCCCAAAACAAATGTTAGCATCTGTTTGCGCTTTATATTCAACAGCAAGCGCTGAAAGGGAACAAAAGAGGATTCAAATGTATTTTGAGTTTTCCTGGAAGCCCGTCTGATCAAAGGAGGAGGAGGACACGGAGAATACAGCTAAACCCTAGGTGGATATTTCCAGGTTTAGCCATGTTTTGCTCGAAAATCAAAAGTCCTCCCACCAAGGGAGGAGCAGCACCGCGCAGCCTACTCTCACGTAAAGCACCTCGCGAGGTGCTTTACGCAAGAGTAGACCTCGCGGGGCAGCCGCCCTTGGATGGCTCACGCTGCCCATCGGGCCTGACGGATAGCATGAGCCAGCCAAGGGAGGGGCACTGTGTGGAAGGGGGCACTCCTCCTCCACGGGCTGGATAAGTGCCGTTGGCGGGCCAGAACTTTGAGGACTCCTGGCTTAAAGGATTATGTTTCATGTTTTGCCTGTGGATCTTTGGAACTATGTTTTTGCATTTATCCTTTGTCTTTGGAACTTTGCATTGCTGACTCTATGTTTTGACTTTGTTTTTCCTCAATAAACTACAAAATCTACAGCTCTTGTGTGGTGGTGTTTTGGCGCAAGGTGAAGCCTACTCTGAGTTGCAACACAGTCTTAGAGCTGGAACAGCATCAAATGTTTTTCTAGTAATGGAAACACAAAGCTTTGGACAACAGTGACAACATAGGCAGATGTTATCCAAGAAAACGAGAGGTCTAACCTTGGTTCTCCTTCATCTTCATTCAGCTCATCCCCTTCTTCCTCGCTCCCACTGTATTCATACTCCGTTTCATCTGAAAAAGAAATGACCCAAACCAAAGTTGAGAAATTTCAATGAGTCAAATCAAAAAGGTGGAGCTTTGTTTGATGGAGGTCATTTGTAATTTAATTGCCATAGCTCACTGCTGTGCAATCCTGGGATTTGTAGTTTCTTGACGCCTCATCAGAGAATGCTCAAAACCTTGTAGAACTACATCCCCCATGACTCCATAGTATTCAACCAAGGAAATTAAAGGGGGCTCATTCTACGGCCTAGATCAGTGTTTCCCAACCTTCCTAATGTTGCGACCCCTTAGTACAGTCCCTCATGCCGTAGTGACCCCCAAATATAAAATTATTTTTGTTGCTACTTCACAACTGTAATTTTGCAACTGTTATGAATCGTCATGTAAATATCTGACATGCAGGATGTATTTTCATTCACTGGAGCAAATTTGGCACAAATACCCAATATGCCCAAATTTTAATACTAGTGGGGTTGGGGGGGGATTGATTTTGTCGTTTGGGAGTTGAGTTGCTGGGACTTATAGTTCACCTCCAATCAAAGAGCATTCTGAAATCTACCAATGATGGAAACGAACCAAACCTGACACACAGAACTCCCATGACTATTACCCTGGTCATCTCCCTGTTGTAGTGATCAACCAAGGCATCGACAGGATCGCTAGGCTCCATGGCAGGAAGAACCCCAAGATTCCTCAGGAATCCCTCCGGATCCATCAGTCTCCTGGGGTGGACCATCTTAGTTTGTCCTCCACCCCTGCGGAGGTTAGGAGTAGCGGGAAGTCTAAAGCTGATCAGATAGTGGTCAGACCATGACAAAGGAAGGATGTTTTGTTCTTCCACTCTGACTGTTCCACTGTCCACTGAAAAAACTAGGTCGAGTGTATGTCCAGCTTGATGGGTGGGTCCAGATATAATCTGTGAGATCCGTATGGTCGTCATGGCGGCCATGAAGTCCTGAGCCACACCAGTCAAAGAGGTCTCAGCATGGATGTTAAAATCTCCCAGCACAACCAGGTGCTGGGAGACCAAAGCCGAATTAGAGACCACATCTGCTAGCTCAGGCAGGGAAACTGCTGAGTTGCGGGGTGGGTGGTACACCAGCAGAAACCCCAAGCTGTCACGGTTCCCCACCCTCAGGTGGACACACTCGAACCCAGGTGATTGCGGAACACAACACAATGTCCAGTATGCCCTTAAATATCTGGAATGTAGGAATGCAGTTAAGATGTTTGCAAATATGTCCCTCATGGAGGTGGACCTCATGGTCCAGGTCTCCAACGAATCTGTACAACCCTGTGTAATGTGTGAACACATCCTTAGTCTTTTCTCTCGTATGCAACACATGGTCAAAACCACCAAAGTGGAAGTTCCCAGCATGACAGAGTTCACCTTTGTCTCCCTTCTTTTTCTTGGTCCTGTCAAGATGGTCCTTCAGCAGAATGCGTATCTGGCGTTCGTTCTGCATGTCCCGGATGAAGGAATGTTTGAGGAGGGTTTCGGTAGCCGGTCGGTGCATGTAGTTCTTGACCAAGCAACTGTCGACAAAGTTAAGGAACTTCTTTGACCTAAAAGGGAGGGAAAGAGCAGAGGAAATGAGGGAAACCCACAGTTCCTTCAAGACAGTTCTTCTGGAGACTAGGACGCAATGGAACAATGGCTTCAAACTACAAGAGAGGAGATTCCATCTGAACATGAGGAAGAACTTCCTGACTGTGAGAGCCGTTCTGCAGTGGAACTCTCTGCCCCGGAGTGTGGTGGAGGCTCCTTCTTTGGAGGGTTTTAAACAGAGGCTGTATGGCCATCTGTCAGGGGTGGTTTAAATGCAATATTCTTGCTTCTTGGCAGATTGAGGTTGGACTGGATGGCCTATGAGGTCTCTTCCAACTCTTTGATTCTATGATCTCATTTGCTGCAACATATTGTGCTTTTGTGTCAACAACAACAACAACAACAATAATAATAATAACTTTATTTTTATACCCTGTCAACCATCTCCCCAAGGGAGAACTTGCCACAATACCGATGCACCATGTTTTGAAGCTTGCCATGGGTTGTTTCACTATGTATGAGTGGCTGCTGATGTATGACGGTAGCATGAATTTCATTGGACTTTCTTAGGGAAGCAATCGAGGTGGTTTGGTCAGCTCCTACCTCTGAAACATGGCCTACATCACCTGAGATTTATGGCTGGTTTCCCATTCAAGTTCTAACCAGGGTTGACCCTCTTAACTGGCAATATCAGACAGAATCTTGTGCCTTTCGTATATTTAGTCTTGAATGTAAGCCACATTTAAGCCAAGAGTCTGCACAAGAGGCTGTTACACCAATGATCAAAGGCCCAATGTAGATAAGAGTTGAACATGAGGCATGTGAAAGCATTATCTGACCCACATGGAAATTTCCTTTCCATTGACCGGAGATGGACAACCACTGGAACTGTGCTGTAGGTCAATATGTTTAGCATTTATCACTGTTGCAAAGAAGAGCATTACCATTTTCTGGATTTCAGCTTTGGGGGAGGGTTTCGCGGGATGAGAAAGAGAGCCCTCATGGGATGCATGTCGCACAAAGCTGGAAGAAAGAAAAGAAGAAAGAAAAGGTGTCAGTTCTCAAAAGGGACATTTCTAGACACGTTCATACCTGTTTTCCCGTGTTTTCCAGGCAGGTCACCTTTCACACTCAGATGCTAGCCATGACATTAGAAAATGTGGACCCTTTCTGCTCCCTTGGCAGCCACCTCTCCCACCAAAGTCAACACGGACATCAAAATACAACACCGCCTGAGCTCTGCAAGTGCAGAATTTTTCTGAATGAAGCAGAGAGTGTTTGAGGACTGGGACATCCGTAGGGAGACCAAGGGGCTTGTTTATAAAGCTATTATCCTCCCAACCCTGCTATATGCCTGCGAGACGTGGACTGTCTACAGACGTCAACATTGAGACTGAAATACAACACCTCCTGAGCTCTGCGAGTGCAGCTGTTTTCCGAAGGAAGCAGAGAGTGTTTGATGACTGGGACATCCGTAGGGATACCAAGGTGCTTGTTTGTAAAGCTATTGTCCTCCCAATCCTGCTATATGCCTGCGAAACGTGGACTGTCTACAAACGTCAACATTAAGACTGAAATACAACTCCGCCTGAGCTCTGCGAGTGCAGAATTTTTCCAAATGAGCAGAGAGTATTTGAGGACTGGGACATCCATAGGGTGACCAAGGTCTTGTTTGTAAAGCTATTGTCCTCCCAACCCTGTTATATGCCTGCGAGACGTGGACTGTCTACAGACATCACATGCATCTCCTGGAACAATTCCATCAGTGCCGCCTCCAGAAAATCCTGCAAATCTCTTGGGAAGGCAAGCGGACAAATGTCAGCATGCTGGAATTAGAAGCAAAGACCACCAGCATTGAAGCGATGCTCCTGCGCCATAAATGGCTATGTTGTCCGGATGCCCGACCACCGTCTCCCAAAGCAGTTGCTCTACTCCGAACTCAAGGATGGAAAAGGGAATGTTGGAGAATTTGAAGAGGCACAAATGGAGGGTGAAAGGGAGAAGTGTGCCAAGAGGAAGATGCATCAAGCCAACCCCAACCAGGACCACCTTCCACCTGGAAACCGATGCCCTCACTGCGGGAGAACATGCAGCTGAAAAAGAGGGCACCGCAATCACCTACAGACCCACCAGCACACTGATTCTGGAAGACTACCCTACTGGGACAATGAGGGATCACCTAAGTAAGTAAGAAAGTCAGCTAGCCACAACACACCAAGTGTCACCTCTATAGCATTATGTAATGTTGCATTCACATGAATGCAAACCATGCACGAATGACAAGGACATGCCAGTCTGTACATGGGCATAGTTATCCTCTCATGGGCAACATGAGCACCTGAACCAACTCTTCAGGTCTGGACAATGAAGTAGGTCACTGCAACAGGAAAGGGAGGAAATATTGTAATGGGGAACCATTATTGTAGACACTGTTTTGAAGTACAGTAGAGTCTCAGTTATCCAACATATACAGGTCAGCAGAACATCGGATAAATGAAAATGTGGGATAATACGGAGTCCCCTCCTGTTACCCATGTGACGCAATGCTAGACACCTATTTATTAATTTATTTATTTACTATATTTATGTACCGCCCCTCTCGGCCCAGAAGCCACTCAGAGCGGTTCACAGAGTGGCAACAATTTGATGCCTCAACAATTATAACAAGTAAAAACAATTAAGAAATTCTGTTTAAAAAATAGGATATGTACGCAACCAACTTACGGGGAGCACCTTCTGCCATCTCTATAGCTGTGATTCCTAGCGACCACAAGTCACTCTGGATGGAGGAATAAAGACACAGAATGAAGTCAAACCAATTAGTGGAAGTACATTGACACTCCTAGAATCATCTATATATTAAAAAATGCTCTGTGTATAATGGGTACTGCTGCAACTCAGAGTAAGCTTCGCTTTGCTTCCAAACACCACCACACAAGAGCTGCCATAGAATCATAGAATCATAGAATCAAAGAGTTGGAAGAGACCTCATGGGCCATCCAGTCCAACCCCATTCTGCCAAGAAGCAGGAATATTGCATTCAAATCACCCCTGACAGATGGCCATCCAGCCTCTGTTTAAAAGCTTCCAAAGAAGGAGCCTCCACCACACTCCGGGGCAGAGAGTTCCACTGCTGAACGGCTCTCACAGTCAGGAATTTCTTCCTCATGTTCAGATGGAATCTCCTCTCTTGTAGTTTGAAGCCATTGTTCCTGCGTCCTAGTCTCCAGGGAAGCAGAAAACAAGCTTGCTCCCTCCTCCCTGTGGCTTCCTCTCACATATTTATACATGGCTATCATATCCCCTCTCAGCCTTCTCTCTTCAGGCTAAACATGCCCAGCTCCTTAAGCCGCTCCTCATAGGGCTTGTTCTCCAGACCTTTTATCATTTTAGTCGCTCTCCTCTGGACACATTCCAGCTTGTCAATATCTCTCTTTAATTGTGGTGCCCAGAACTGGACACAATATTCCAGATGTGGTCTAACCAAAGCAGAATAGAGGGGTAGCATTACTTCCCTAGATCTAGACACTATGCTCCTATTGATGCAGGCCAAAATCCCATTGGCTTTTTTTGCCGCCACATCACATTGTTGGCTCATGTTTAACTTGTTGTCCACGAGGACTCCAAGATCTTTTTCACACGTACTGCTCTCGAGCCAGGCATTGTCCCCATTCTGTATCTTTGCAATTCGTTTTTCCTGCCAAAGTGGAGTATCTTGCATTTGTCACTGTTGAACTTCATTTTGTTAGTTTTGGCCCATCTCTCTAATCTGTGAGATCGTTTTGAATCCTGCTCCTGTCCTCTGGAGTATTGGCTATCCCTCCCAATTTGGTGTCGTCTGCAAACTTGATGATCCTGCCTTCGAACCCTTCATCTAAGTCATTAATAAAGATGTTGAACAGGACCGGGCCCAGGACGGAACCCTGCGGCACTCTGCTCATCACTTCTTTCCAGGATGAAGAGAAAGCATTGGTGAGCACCCTCTGGGTTCGTCCATTTAACCAATTCCAGATCCACCTCACCGTAGTTTTGCCTAGCCCACATTGGACTAGTTTCCTTGCCAGAAGGTCATGGGGGACCTTGTCAAAGAAGGCCTTCCTGAAATCCAGACACGCTACATCCACGGCATCATTCCCCGCATCTACCCAGCTTGTAACTCTATCAAAAAAAGAGATCAGATGAGTCTGGCATGACTTGTTTTTGATAAGGTGCTGGTACTAACCTTTCAAGGTGCTGGTACTAACCTTTAAGGCCTTACATGGTCTGGGGCTGGCGTACCTGAGGGCCCGCTTATCTCCCTACCAACCCCAGAGATTGCTTTGGTCTGAGGACCAAAATTTGCTTGAAGTCCCCAACATCCGGACTTATCATCTGTCCTCTACTAGGCAGAGAGCCTTCTCGATTGTGGCCCCTTATTTATGGAATGCCTTGCCAGTTGAAACCCGAACCATCCGAGAGCTACTTGCTTTTCGGAAAGCCTGTAAGACCTTTCTCTTCCGACAAGCTTTCGATGGGTGAATAACTCGGGACTATGTCTGTTCTTGTTTTTATTGTATTTTAAAGTTAATTGTATTGTTTTAATCTACTGCTGTAAACCGCTCCGAGCCAAATTGGGAATAGCGGTATACAAGTCAAATAAATAAAATAAATAAAGAAGGCGGGATAGAGAGCAGGGCCACCCCAGACGATCTTAAAGTCGTAGATCAGTGGTTCTCAACCTTTCTAATGCGGTGACCCCCAAATAACGTTCCTCGTGTTGTGGTGACCCCCAACTATATTTTCGTTGCTACTTCATAAATAATTTTGCTACTACTCTTATGAATTCTAATGCAAATATCTAATATGCGAGATGTATTTTCATTGTTACAAATTGAACATAATTAAAGCATAGGGACTAATCACAAAAACAATATGTTTGGGGGAGTATGGACAATGGATGATGGGATTTGCAGTACCTTCAACCAATTCAGTGCTGACTTCCACAGACCACTGAGATCCCCCAAACGAATTACAGACCTGGACCAAACTTGGCACATAGAACTCCCATGACCAACAGAAAATACTGGAGGAGGTTGGGAGGAATTGACAGTGATTTATGGGAGATGTAGTTCACCTACATCTGGAAAGCACTGAGAACCCAAATGACTATGGATCTGGACCAAACTTGGCATGAATACTCAATATGCCCAAATTTGAACAATGGTGGAGTTTGGGGGAAATAGATCTTGATATTTGGGAGTTGCAGTTGCTGGGATTTATAGTTCCTCTGCCATCAGAGAGTATTCTGAACTCCAACAAAAATGGAATTGAAGAAGCTTGGCATACAGAACTCCCATAACCAACAGAAATTACTGGAGTTGCAGTACCTCCCACAATCAATCAGCATTCTGAACCCCACAAATATAGAATTTGACCCACCCAGCTTGCAATGCATAACTCCCATGACCAACAGACAACACAGAGGTTTGGGGGAAATACATTCAGAGATGTGGGAGTTGCAGTACTTCCTGCAGCAATGAATGAGCATTCTGAACCCCACAAATATAGAATTTAACCAAACTTGGCAAAAAGAGCCCTCCATGGCCAGCAAAAAATACTGGAGGTCTTTAGGGGAAATACACCCTTGATTTGGGGAAGTTGTCGTTGAACAGGACCGGGGCCAGGACGGAACCCTGCGGCACTCCGCTCGTCACTTCTTTCCAGGATGTCGTTTTATAGTTTATTGAGGAAAAAATCCAAGTCACAATAAAGAGTAAGCATTGCAAAATTCCAAAGATTAAGGTTAAATGCCGAATATAGTTCCAAAGACCTTCAGGTAAAAACAGGAGACATAATCCTATTGGCAGAGTTCAAACCAGAGTCCCAGGTCCAAGCAATGAAACAATTTCCCCATGAATCACCGTGCAAGAAACCCCAAGCGTACTGCTTTCCAGGCTAAGGTTATTCCATGAAGCTTCCAGGCTAGTAAGCTGCGTTGAACTGACACTTTCTCAGAGTTTGCAAAAGGCTTAAATACCTTTCTAACATCAAAACATTAGGCTCTCATCATCATAAAAGCATTGCGATGACCTTTAACTGAGCTGGCTTCTCATCTGCTGGCCAGATGAGAACTCTGCCTGACCCGGAGATCAAGGAGAGCTTGCCGGGTCAAGTCACTATCTACACTTTCTGTATCAGCGTGGGAAGGCATCTGCTCGCTATCTCCTTAGTTAAAATTCCTTTCTGGTGGAAACGGCTGTGTTGACACTGCACTGTCTGTGGGAGCCTCAGAAGCAGGCCCAGAGATTTGAGGCACAGACAAAGAGCCAGGAAGCTGAATCCCAGCAGGAATCTGAATCCCATCATCCTCATTGTCAGAAAATAGCTCAGCCACAACAAGTACCTTAAAAACAAAAGAACCAATGAATGAAATCACACCAAATTTGGCAACAAAACGTCTCACAACACAAGGAGTGACCATCACTCAAAAAATTACGATTTTGTCATTTGGGAGTTGTAGTTGCTGGGATTTATAGTTCACCTACAATCAAAGAACATTCTGAACTCCATCAGCGATGGAATTGAACCAAACTTGGCACACAGGACTCCCATGACCGACAGAAAATATTGGGAGGGTTTGGTGGGCATTGACCTTGGGTTTAGGAGTTGTAGTTCACCTACATCTAGAGAGCACTGTGGACTCAAACAATGATGGATCTGCACCAAACTTGGCAAAAATACTCCATATGCCCAAATATAAACACAGATGGAGTCTGGGGAAAATAGATCTTGACATTTGGGAGTTGTAGTTACTGGGATTTATAGTTCACCTATAATCAAATAGCATTCAGAATCCAACAGATGGAATTGGGCCAAATATCCCACACAGAACCCCCATGACTAACAGAAAATACTGTGTTTTCTGGTGGTCTTTGGTGACCCTTCTGATACCCCCTCGGTGACCCCCCCCCCCCGAGTCTTGACTTCCCAGGTTGAGAAATGCTGCCTTAAGGCCATCCAGTCCAACTCCCTTCACCAGGGCAAGAAAACATAATCAAAGCCCTCCTGACAAAGGGCCGTCCAGCCATTCACACACACACACACACATGTATATGACAGATGCAGTATCCTAGATTTGAAAGAGACCCTTAAAGAAGGACAATGATATGTTGCATGTTCCAGAGTAGGCAAACCAGACACTCTCCACATCAACACTGACAAAGAAACAGCAAGAAATATTGTTTACCCACAAGCATAAAAAAATTACATATATTACATATATTAGAAACCAACACTTTCTTATTACTTTATTTCCCAGATCACCAGACTGGGCCACACCTGAAAGGTGTGGGGATGATGGTGTGCTCCCTGAATTGCTACCAGAGAGTTCCCATGATTTGGAGCTTGAAAACAGCTCGGCACCAGGTGCAGAAATAAATGAGCAAATAGATAGACGGGAGGAGATTAGTCAAAACAGAAAAGCTGAACAGTGGCTTTGGCGTTCTGCCAGGCTCCAAGAGAAAAAGATAAGAGATTCTAAACTAAAGCGAAATCAATTTCTGAGTGCTTGGAACATAGCTAACGAGGAGATAAAAGTCCCAAGTACAGGATATGCAGTCAGATGAAGCATCATTTGGAATCAAGTCAAAATCTCGTCCTTGCTTCATGGAAGCCTAGCTTTGAAGATTCATGTTTAAGTGCCTTTTGTTTCATGGTTTTGATTCTTGGATTCTATGTTTTTTTAATTCATGCCTTGGATTAATGTTCCCTGGTTTCTTGGATTTTATTAGAGAAGTTTTGGCTTTGTTTTCATGGTCTTTGCTGGACTATTTTCCCTGGGCTATTTTGTTCCTGCTTATTTATTTATTTATTTATTTGACTTGTATACCAGTACTCCCAATTTGGCTCGGAGCGGTTTACAGCAGTAGATTAAAACAATACAGCCAACTTTAAAATACAATAAAAACAAGAACAGACATAGACCCGAGTTATTCACCCATCGAAAGCTTGTCGAAAAAGAAAGGTTTTACAGGCTTTCCGAAAAGGAAGTAGCTCTCGGATGGTTTGGGTTTCAACTGGCAAAGCATTCCATAAATAAGGGGCCACAATTGAGAAGGCTCTCTGCCTAGTAGAGGACAGATGATAAATCCGGATGTTGGGGACTTCAAGCAAATTTTGGTCTTCGGACCGAAGTAATCTCTGGGGTTGGTAGGGGGATAAGCGGGCCCTCAGGTATGCCGGCCCCAGACCATATAAGGCCTTAAAGGTGAGTACCAGCACCTTGAGAGTGATCCGGTACTCAATCAGAAGACAGTGCAGCTGTTGGAGGATTGGGGTGATACGACACCTTGCTGGTACTCTGACGATGTACCCTGGCAAGAAGATGAGCCGCCGCATTTTGCACCAGCTTCAGTTTCCGTATCACTGACAAAGGAAGGCCAATGTAGAGGGCGTTACAGTAGTCAAGCCTCGAGGTGAGCGTCGCGTGGATCACCGTAGCCAGGTCGTTCCTCGATAGGAAGGGAGCCAGTCTCCTAGCCTGACGCAGATGGAAAAACGCAGATCTGCTCACAGCAGAGACCTGGGCCTCCATTGTGAGCAGCAGAGGGTCCAATAAGACACCAAGACTCTTTACAGAAGGTGACGGACGTAGTGTCTCGCCATCCAGGGTAGGCGGCTGGGTCTCCCTCCCACCCGGACGGCCCAGCCATCTTCGCTGGGTTCACCCTCAACCTGCTGGCACACAACCATCCAGTAACGGCCTCAAGGCATTGATGGAAATTTTTGGGTACAGAGTCCGGCTGGCCCTCCATCCTCAGAATGAGCTGAGTGTCGTCAGCATACTGGTGGCACTCCAGCCCAAAGCTCCGCACCAGTTGGGCAAGCGGTCGCATATAAATGTTAAATAACAAAGGGGAGAGAATGGCTCCCTGCGGGACCCCACAAGTTAGCGGAGACCTCTCAGAAACCATCCCTCCCCTCACCACTCGCTGTCCCCGATTCTGGAGGAAGGAGGACACCCACTTAAGGGGTATCCCCCTCACCCCAGTCATGGCTAGGCGGTGGGTCAATAGATTGTGATCGACCGTGTCAAATGCTGCGGTGAGGTCCAATAACACGAGCAGCGCTGATCCGCCTCGATCCATCTGGCAGCGAAGCTGATCTGTGATGGCGACTAGCACAGTCTCCGTCCCGTGCCCACTACGGAAGCTGGACTGGAAGGGATCAAGTCTGGCTGTGTCATTTAGGAACTGCTGCAACTGTTCTGCTGCAACTGTTATCTTCTTACCTAATTGGATTTACCTATTTCTTTAAAGTGCTTTTTTGCTTTGCTGCTTTTTAATTATCTTCAATAAAAGGATTGTTTTTCCTACTCAACGGTGTGTCCTGCAAAGACAAAGGTTTTGCAGTTTAACCAACTTTTCCCATGTGTTTATGATAGAACCAATTTGGAAATGACATTGATAACCCCGGAACAGAAATCATAGCCCAGGAGAGGAGGTTTGATGGAGGTGTGGTGGAGGTAGGAAAATCATCAATTTAATTTCAAAATGGAGTATGCCTGAGCTGTATCGTATATCTACTCTTCTAAATACTTTACATGTTCAGTGCGATAAAGCCTCTGTTGGAGACAAATCCACAGCTATCGTCATATTCCCAGAGCTCAGGGTGCGGTTGGGAGTGGGGAGGACAAAGTGCGTCTTGTATTCTTTTGGCTAAACAGAAGATGGGGAAAAGGTCAGCCAAAAAAGAACAGCAGAAGGAACAAAACCTACTCTGTAGTCATACGTCGATTCTGGGTTTTCATCACAAGCGATGACCTCAGGAGCCATCCAGTAGGGAGTCCCAATGAAGGTGTTCCTCCTTCCGATTGTCCGGTCTAGTTGGGCGCTCACTCCAAAATCCACTGCAAAAGACACGGAGGTTTAGAAAGGGAAGAAAAACAGAAAAATCTGAAAACACAGGTTTCTGTTTCAATTCAATTATCCTCCCAATACATCCAGTACATTCAATCGTTCATTCAAAGATCATGTTGAACTCCAGGACAGGAAAAGCCCTCTGACTTTAAACATCACACCGTTGGATGGAAAACAACCCTTTTATTGAAGATAATTAAAAAGCAGTAAGGTAAAAAAGTACTTTAAAGACATAGGTAAATCCAATTAGGTAGGAAGATAAGCAGGAACAAAGTAGTTCAGGGCAATAGTCGAGCAAAGTCCATAAAAAGAGAGATGGGCCAAAACTAACAAAATGAAGTTCAAAGGGGACAAATGCAAGATACTCCACAAAATTATGATTTTGTCATTTGGGAGTTTTAGTTGCTGGGATTTATACTTCACCTCCAATCAAAGTTCAACATGAAGTTGAAATGAAGTTCAACAGTGACAAATGCAAGATACTCCACTTTGGCGGAAAAAACAAAATGCAAAGAGGGACAATGCCTGGCTCGAGAGCAGGATGTGTGAAAAAGATCTTGGAGTCCTCGTGGACAACAAGTTAAACATGAGCCAGGAATGTGATGTGGCGGCAAAAAAAGCCAATGGGATTTTGGCCGACATCAATAGGAGCCTAGTGTCTAGATCTAAGGAAGTCATGCTCCCCATGCTCTATTCCGCTTTGGTCAGACCACGTCTGGAATATTGTGTCCAATTCTGGGCACCACAATTCAATAGAGATGTTGACTCTAAGCTGGAATGTGTCCAGAGGAGGGCGACTAAAATGATCAAGGGTCTGGAGAACAAGCCCTATGAGGAGCAGCTTAAGGAGCTGGGCATGTTTAGCCTGAAGAAGAGAAGGATGAGAGTAGATATGATAGCCATGTATAAATATGTGAGAGGAAGCCACAGGGTGGAGGGAGTAATGTAACAATGGCTTCAAACTACAAGACAGGAGATTCCATCTGAATATGAGGAAGAACTTCCTGACTGTGAGAGCCATTCAGAAGTGGAACTCTCTGCCCCGGAGTGTGGTGGAGGCTCCTTCTTTGGAAGCTTTTAAACAGGGGCTGGATGGCCATCTGCCAGGGGTGATTTGAATGCAATATTCCTGCTTCTTGGCAGAATGGGGGTGGACTGGATGGCCCAGGAGGTCTCTTTCAACTCTAGGATTCTAGGATTCTATGATTCTATGGGAGATATAAAGCAACCACATCCGGAAAGTTGCATATTTTCCACCCTGATGTAAAGCAACCCTTTTGATTGGCTTTTTGTTGTGTAAGGCAGCACCAGAGATATGTTTCAACGTGTAAAATCATCAGCAAAGATGCAGGAATCACTTACCTAATTTCACTTCGGCATTTTCAGTGAGGAGCACGTTCTGGCCTTTAATATCTCGGTGGATAACGTGATGGAGATGTAAGTGTGCTAAGCCCTGGAAGGGAAATCATGCCATGTTAGCTTTCTTAACCCTTTCTGTCATATCGATTCTACCTGGAAGGGTAATGTCTTGGGAAATGACTTGGCTGTGCTCTCTCAATTAGTATTATTCCAGCAGTGAGTGGTTGGCTTGGAAGCCCTGAGGGTGGGAGGTCATTGGGAAGTTAAGGAGATAGACCTCTGGTAGAAAAGTCCAATACACGTGACTTCCTTGCTTGCTCTGTACAATGGCCATTGATAGGGAGGTTAGCCGTTAGCTCAAGGAAGATAGAGAGGTCGAGGCAGAGCACTAATAACATTGGAGAAATAGTTTGGTACTGGAGACAAATTAAGAGAAAAACTTGTAGCAGAGCATCTCCAAGAGTATGTTTTCTACCATGAAGGCAATGGGTAAAATCATCACACTAGAGGTGAAAAAAGCATTTGTCAATAGATAGTAACTTACTATGAGGCCTCCGACAAACTATTGGAGGGTTTAATAGGGGTGTTGCAACTCAGAGTAAGCTTCACCTTGCTGCCAAACACCACCACACAAGAACTGTCGTTTTATAGTTTATTGAGGAGAAAATCCAAGTCAAAATAAAGAATAAGCATTGCAAAATTCCAAAGATTAAGGTTAAAAGCAGAATATAGTTCCAAAGATCTTCAGGTAAAAACAGGAGACATAATCCTACTGGTAAAGTTCAAACCAGAGTCCCAGGTCCAAGCAATGAAACAATTGCCCCATGAATCACCATGCAAGAAATCCCAAGCGTACTGCTTTCCAGGTTAAGGTTATTCCATGAAGCTTTCAGGGTAGTAAGCTACATTGAACTGACGCTTTCTCAGAGTTTGCAAGAGGCCTAAATACTAGGCCTGGGTAACAACGGAAAAATTTGTTTCTAAAATCGATTTGTATTTGGGGTTTTTTTTTGTTTCGATATTTAAAATAATTACAAAATTTTCCTTTTAAAAAGTTCGATATTTACGAAATTTCGTAAATGGTAAAAAATTAACGAATCGATTTCCGAAACAATAACAAATCGATTCGTTAATGGCGGACGCGACCGCGAAATACGCTAAAAAACCTCCAAAACCTTCTGAAGCTTCCCTCTCCCTCTGTTGTTGACTGTTGGTGTGATATTATTTTTTTTCACTAATTAAACCATAAAACTGGCCCAGACATGCGGAAATAATAACGAAACGACCTCAAAACAATAACGAAACGAATACAATATCAAAATACGAAGCATTTACAAAACGTTTTTGAAAATTCGTTTTTTTAAATAATTGCTCCAGAATGGTTCGTTATAGTTTTGTAATTGAAAAAATTAACGAATTATTAATGAATTACGAATTAACGAAACAAAACCGCCCAGCCCTACTAAATACCTTTCTAACATGAAAACATTAGGCTCTCATCATCATAAAAGCATTGCGATGACCTTTCACTGAGCTGGCTTCTCGTCTGCTGGCCAGACGAAAAGTCTGCCTGACCCGGAGATCAAGGCGAGCTTGTAGATAGTGACTTGACCAAAGTGTAGATAGTGAGTTGACCCGGCAAGGTCACCTTGATCTTCGGGTCAAGTCACTATCTAGACTTTCGGTATCAGCGTGGGAAGGCACCTGCTCGCTATCTCCTTCGTTAAAATTCCTTTCTGCTGGTGAGAATGGCTGTGTTGACACTGCACTGTCTGTGGGAGCCTCAGAAGCAGGCCCAGAGATTTGAGGCACAGACAAAGAGCCAGGAATCTGAATCCCATCATCCTCATTGTCAGAAAATAGCTCAGCCACAACAAGGGGTGTGCAATTTTTTTTGTTAGTTCTCGTAAGTCGTATCAAATTTGTTACATTTGTACTTATTATGCAATATCCAACGTGTGGATGTGGCCTGCACCCAAAAGTTAAGAATCGAAACTCACCCAATACTTTTTCATTCAAATTTTTGTAAATTTCCAAAGCCTCCCAAATTCAGTTTCATGTTCAACACAAGGAAGCAAAGCAAAGACAAAAAGGCTGCCTTTTCTCCTTAAATGAATGGCCTCTCACCATGAGGAGAAAGAAGCAGCAGGGAGAAAGCAGAGTTCGCTGGGAAAGAGATAGAGAGAGCACAGAATTCTGGGAAATGTAGTTTAGGAAGGCAAGAAGCCCTATGGCAGAGAATGCAAAAGGCCCCGCCCTGAACTACCTTTCCCAGAATTCTGCTAGAATTTCCCAGAATTCCCAGATAGTAACTAACTATGAGGCCTCCGACAAACTATTGGAGGGTTTAATAGGGGTGTGCAGATTTTTCGTTAGTACTCGTAAGTCGTATCAAATTCGTTAAATGTGTACTTATTATGCAATATCTGACCCAAAACTTAAGAATTGAAACTCACCCAATACTTTTTCATTTGAATTTTGTAACCAGAACAATCAACTCTGTATCTGTTTAGTGCATTTTGATACCAGAATAATGCTTGCGTTGCTTCAAAACGTATCCGGACGGCACTCACCCTGAGAACCTCTCTGCAAATGTAAGCGATCCAGTCTTCCTTGAAACAGTTTCCTTTTGTCTTCTTCACCAAATCTGTCACCGAGCCAGCTCCACAATATTCCATTACCAGCTTGCAAGAAAAAAATACAGTTTATTTATTATTCATTGAGAAGGAACATGGGGATTTTTTAACACCGTTACAGCTCACAACAGCTCTGGGGTGAAAACGTCTCCATTAAAAGCATTTGCTGGAAGCGAGGGCTTGGCAACATTAATTTTGAACAGGAAGTGTTGCCACTATTCTTACTTTTACGAAGCAACATTCCTTTTGGAAAGGAACATTCTTACTAGGCCTGTGCGGTTTCGTTCGTTAATTCGTTATTTCGTTATTAATTCGTTAATTTTACCATTTCCGAAGCGATATTGAAACATATTCCCAAACCCGGAAGGGTTTTTAAATATCGAACCAGCAGCCCCCAGAGTTTTAACGAGCCTCCGCTCGTTTCGTTAATGGGGTGGAGGCTGCTGGAGTGCTGGTGCATGGGAGCCAATCCGGCGCTCCCAAACAGTGCACCACCATGGGTCCGTGGCTGCCTGTTTTTGATTGGCCGGCGAGCCCTTTCAAAGCGGCTCCGCGCGGCCCGTAGCTTCAAGAGGGCGAGGGAGTTTGCATTGGGTTGGCTTGGCAATGGCTGCTAGCAACTCGGATTGGATTCATTCCTTGCTGCTGTGAGTGCTGCTTGCTTCATTTGCTGTCTCTTGCCTGTGTTTGGTCCACATTTGGGCCATTTTTTGGTTAATTTTCCATTTTAAAATATTTTTAATATTATTTTTAATATTATTTTTTAATATTATTTTTTAATATTATTTTTTAATATTATTTTTAATATTATTTTTTACTATTATTTTTAAAAAATATTCTAAAAAAGAAAAGACTCTTCTGTTGGTGTGTGCTCTCATTTGCTGTATCGTGCCTGTGTTTGGTCCACATTTGGGCCATTTTTTTGGTTAATTTTCCATTTTAAAATATTTTTTAATATTATTTTAATATTATTCTTAAGAAATACCAAAAATATTCTAAAAATTCGTTAATATTTACAAAATTTCTTAAATACCAAAACTTTTTTTTGGAAAGTTTTGTAATTATTTTAAATATCGAAACAAAAAAACACCCCAATTACAAATCGATTTTAGAAACAAATTTTTTCTTGATCAAACAGGCTCTTTGGCTAATCCTTTCAGGAAGAAATAAATAAAAATAAATAGCAAAGTCCCTCATAGAATCCTAGAATCTCCTGGGCCATCATCCAGTCCAGCCCCATTCTGCCAAGAAGCAGGAATATTGCATTCAAATCACCCCTGACAGATGGCCATCCAGCCTCTGTTTCAAAGCTTCCAAAGAAGGAGCCTCCACCACACTCCGGGGCAGAGAGTTCCACTGCTGAACGGCTCTCCTTACAGTCAGAAAGTTCTTAGAATCATGCATGCCCCCCCCTCCCAACAAGGGATGGTAACTTATAGTTCTGCAAAGGACAAAGGTACCAGACTGCACAATAGGGGTTAAGCCTTGGTCAATTTGCCAAGACCTTAACAACAATGAGGACCCCATGAAACTTTGGGAATGGCTAGACCTTGGGGTCTCTGCCTCTCTCTCTCTCGAGAGCTGTAGTTTTCCAAGGACCATGGGACCAGCTTCCATCCCAGCGCTGCAGGGCTTCGTGTCTTGGCCCAGTGGAACTCCATAGACTCCCTTTGGTGGCTTTTTGAATTCTGCTACATTCCTGGACTTCACTCTCTTCAAGGACTCGCTCTCTACCCATGAACTTTCTTCAAGACAACTTATGAATTCATGCTGTGTCTTGATATCGTCTGCTTTTTATAATTGGTATTATTAATTTCTCTCTGAATGGGAAGATACCTGCATATGATTTCCCTGTGTATAATTTCTATATGTTTTTTTATGTTTCCTTGTATTCCTGACCCTTTGCCCCTTCTCCCTCCAAAGAAATGTGTAAGGGAACCCCCTGACCTTCAGAAACAAAAGCCATTAGCGGTTACTGAAACCTCCCGCCAAAGACACACTTGCATGGATAAGAGAAGGAAATTCTTATCGGAAGATGGCCCACTAGAGTAAAGAATTGTTTGGCAAAAGTTTCTGTAAGATAAGGGGAAATCTTCCCCTCTGCTTTTGTTCACTTCCCATTGATAGCATTAACCTCAGGTTGCCATCATTGTTCTCCTGTCTCACAGCCAGGAAAGGTCTGGATAATTTTTACACATGTTGATTAACAACACTCATGAACACAATAGATCGGCCCTGTTTGAGCTTTTTGTCTCAGGCCACATGGCATTTCCTTTGTTTAAAGACTCATAGAATCAAAGACTCCTTTCCCAGATTCCTTTGTGCTCTCTCATCCCACCTCCCTCTCTCCTGATTTGCTGTTGCCACCAGGTGGAAGAGGTCTCCCCATTGGATCCTACGGACCACTGGAGCTTCCTGATTGGTCCAGAGGCACCAGGGGCGGGAGGGCCGCCTCCCAGCTGTTCGCCCATCACCCAATCATGGCGGGGAACAACAGGGAAGCCGGGGCGGGGAGTTTGAACTCTGCAACTTTGAATTTGCTATAAATATGACTGTATTGGTGTACTCCCCTCATGCTTAGCTTTGGCGAATGATTGCAGCTCAGCATCCTTTTCAGCTGAATCGCATTAAACCTCGATGGCTTTTCTTCAACTGGTGAGACTTTTCATTGGGAAATCAGGGAAAAATATGGGATGCTTCTCTGTCTCGCCAGAACCCTTTGATGAGTCTAATTGTCTCTGCCTCCTGGCAAAGATCCCAAATTTTTATCTTTACATCACACATACAAATAATACAGGACAATAAATAACACAGGACAAACACAAATTTATGTGCAAAATCCTGCACATAAATGGAAGGAGGCAGGGAACCAAATGAACAGAGGCAACAGAAAGGTCACTTCAAAGCATGCAAACCAATCCAGTTGTGAAAATCGGGACGTGGAACTGAGAGTCAAGAGTGGAGAAATGAAGCAAAACAATACAGGAAGAGAGCCTTCCTCGGACGGGAAGTGAGAGTAAATCCCTCCTCCGAAAGAGATGTTAAAAGAAGCAGAAAGGGAACCGGAGACTCACCCAGAGCTGGTCGTCTTGACCTTCAGGACTCTTCTTGACAAAGGCCCCATAGTACGTTGCAATGTTCCTGTGATGGGAATACTTCTTCAACATGTTGATTTCCAGTTTGATTTCTTCTTCCTCGTCCTTTTGACAAAACAGGAGAGAGAAGGCCACAGGTATCAAGATGCTGAGCCTCAAAACACTGCTTAGACACAAGGACCCTTAGCCTGCCCTCCCCAGCATTAGGGTCCCCAATACGAGTGTCTTATTGAGGCCCTTGCAAAGTCGTACCCAGCTCAGCTTCTGAATCTGAGTTCCTGGGAGTTGTAGAATTGCAGTACAAAAATGGTAGGTTTCCAAACTCTGATCAATAGAAGGGAGACTCCAGGTTGCTCGAAGCCCTGACTTGAGCCCTGGAAATGTTGTTATCAAGGTTGTATTTTTACATGGTTTGCATTCCGTGCAATGGGCAACATGTTTGGGTGGAAAGGCGATTCCTCTTCCAGGTAGCCCATTTATTTATTATTTCGGGTACTTTTACCCCGCCCTTCTCAACCCCCCGAGGGGGGACTCAGGGTGGCTTACAAAATGGCACAATTCGATGCCTATACAAATTACACATAATGTACAAAACCATAGTTAAAACAATTATCACAGTTAAAACAGTCAAAACAATCACTATATAACACATCATATAAAACTATTCTCATGCTCAGCGTTTCGTCTTTCAGAGTTCCATAGTTCCATTCCATTAGTCATTTCCTGACCATTCTCAAAGTCCTTTCTTTAACTGCCCGATTGTCTGAATGCCTGGTCCCAAATCCATGTTTTCAGTTTTTTCCTAAAGGAAAGGAGTGATGTTGCTGATCTAATTTCCCCGGGGAATGAATTCCACAGGTGAGGGGCCACCACCGAGAAGGCCCTGCTCTTCGTCCCCGCCAACCTCACTTGTGATAGAGGCGGGGTCGAGAGCAGGGCCTCCCCAGAAGATCTTAGACTCCGGGGTGGGACGTAGAGGGAGATCCGTTCGGACAGATACACTGGGCTGGAACCGTATAGGGTTTTGTAGGTCAAAACCAGCACTTTGAATTGTGCTCGGAACTGGATTGGCAGCCAGTGGAGCTGACACAACAGGGGGGTGGTGTGCTCCCTGTATGACGCTCCGGTGAGTAATCTGGCTGCCTCCCGCTGGACTAGTTGGAGTTTCCGAACAGTCTTCAAAGGCAACCCCACGTAGAGTGCATTGCAGTAATCTAATCGGGATGTAACAAGAGCGTGGACCACGGTGGCCAGATCAGACTTCCCAGGCTCAGCGATGAGTCCAGGATCACTCCCAAGCTGCGAACCTGCATCTTCAGGGGGAGTGGGACCCCGTCTAACACAGGCTGTAACCCTATACCCTGTTCGGCCTGACCAGTAGGACCTCTGTCTTGTCTGGATTCAGATGCCCATGACATCTAAACTTGCGAACATCCATTAAAGTTGAACGCAAATAGATTGAAGACAGAGCAGAGATTCTCTCTCTCTCTCTCAATAAATATACATACACACATAATAAAAATAAAAATAAAAATAAAAATAAAAATAAAAATAAAAATAAAAGTAAAAATAAAAATAAAAATAAAAATAAAAATAAAAATAAAAATAAAAATAAAAATAAAAATAAAAATAAAAATAAAAATAAAAATAAAAATAAAAATAAAAATAAAAATAAAAATAAAAATAAAAAATAAAAGTAAAAATAAAAAAACAAAAAACAAAAACAAAAACAAAAATAATAAAATAAAAATAAAAATGTAATATTTGTTTGTGGGATTAACATAACTCAAAAAGCACTTGAACGAATTGCTGCAAAATTTGGCCGCAAGACACCTACTAACTCAAGGAGTGACCATCGCTCAATCTATATAAATAAAAATGTAATGTTGGTTTGTGGGATTAACAGAACTCAAAAACCACTGGACGAATTGACACCAAATTTGGACACAAGACACCTAACAACCCAATGTATGTCCTTCACTCAAAAAAATTGATTTTGTCTTTTGGGAGTTGTAGTTGCTGGGATGTACAGTTCACCTACAATCAAAGAGCATTCTGGACTCCACCAATGATGGAGTTGAACCAAACTTGAAACGCAGGTCTCCCGTGACCAACAGGAAACACTAGAAGGGTTTGTTGGGTATTGACCTTGAGTTTGGGAGTTGTAGTTCACCTACTTCCAGAGAGCATTGTGGACTCCAATGATGGATCTGGACCAAACTTGGCACAAATACTCAATATGCCCAAATGTGAACACAGATGGAGTTTGGGGGAAATAGATCATGACATTTGGGAGTTGTAGTTGCTGGGATTTATAGTTCACCTACAATCACAGAGCATTCTGAACCCCACCAATGATAGAATTGGGCCAAACCTCCCACATAGAATCCCCATGACCACCAGAGTGGGCCACAGCAAGGCGTGGTAGGGGACGGCCAGTGTGTGTGTGTGTGTGTGTGTGTGTGTGTGTCTGTATATATATATATATATATATATATATATATATATATATATAATTTTGTCGTTTGGGAATTGTAGTTGCTGGGATTTATAGTTCACCTACAATCAAAGAGCATTCTGGACTCCACCAATGATGGAATTGAACCAAACGTGGCATACAGGACTCTCATGACCAACAGAAAAAACTAGAAGGGTGTGGTGTGCATTGACCTTGAGTTTTGGAGTTGTAGTTCACCTACATCCAGAGAGCACTGTGGACTCAAACAATGATGGATCTGAACCGAACTTGGCACGAGTATTCCATATGCCCAAATATGAACACAGATGGAGTTTGGAGGAAATAGGAAGGATGGAACCAAAGAGCATAGGAAGGCAGAAAGGAAACAGATAGAGAAGGAAGAAAGAAGAAGGGAAAGAAAAAGAAGGAAGGAAGGATGGAGGGAAAGAAAGAAGGAGAGAACGAGGGAGGGAAGGTTGGCTACAGCAGGTTCGAATCCGGGGAGAGCGCGGATGAGCTCCCTCTATCAGCTCCAGCTCCTCATGCGGGGACATGAGAGAAGCTTCTCACAAGGATGGTAAAAACATCCGGGCATCCCCTGGGCAATGTCCTTGCAGACGGCCAATTCTCTCATACCAGAAGCGACTTCTGACACGACTAATAATAATAATAATAATAATAATAATAATAATAATAGGCCAATAATTGGCAGATGGCCAATCCTATCAACAGAAGTTTCTCAAGTTGCTTCTGACACGACAAAATAATAATAATAATAATAATAATAATAATAATAATCATATATTCTGTGCAAATGTCTTGGCTGAGCTTCACCCTCTGCAAGCATCACAGTGGACTGCAATAATAGTAGGAAATGTATCTGGAGACCATTTGAAATGAACTTGGATGAGGACTATTATTTGGTTGCAATGTGAGGCGTGTCATCTGCACTCATTGTGACAGACGAAGTCCAAAGCAATCCCAGTTGTGGGGCTCCCGGTTGCATCTGGCTGCACTAACGGTAAACTATTCCTCCCCAGCTCCACGGAAAGAATGAAAGAGGGCTTTGATCTTGCCGCAAAGTGCCCTGCCCTCTTCAATCTGTCAGATAACAGGAAGGGCGTCTGGCGGGGAAGGTTCTTGAGAAAACCATGCTGATTCCCAGGGCTCCTCCCGGAAACGTGACACCCCCAAGGGCCTCCCTGACAGATCCTCCCGTGGGGATCCCACACAACAACATCCTGCTGCTCACAAGAAAGCTGCTTGGGATCAAAGCTTCAGATAAAGGAAGACGCAGAACGGCGGAGCTGGAATGGCACCACGGTCCTTGGAACTTACAGCAGAAGCACTTCAAAGGACAAGGGCCTCAAAGCCTTCTTCTTTTTGAAAGTTGGGTTTATTTATTTATTTATTATTTATTTGCTTCATTTTTATACCGCATTTATCAGCCCGTTCGGCGACTCAATGCGGTTTACAATACAATTCATATAACAAACAATAATTAAGACACATCGTACACGGACAAACAAAACACATAATCATCAACGCCTCAGTGAAATCAGATCCCGTTCTCATAATCCTTCTGCCGTTTCCTTGTTCAATTATACCGTCGTCATGAGTTCAATTGCATTGTTAGCCGAACGCCTGTTCATAGAGCCACGTCTTGACCCTCCTCCGAAACGCCAGCAACGAAGGGGCCTGCCTGATGTCCGCTGGTAGGGCATTCCATAGCCGAGGGGCCACCACCGAGAAGGCCCTGTCTCTCGTCCCCGCCAACCGCGCTTGTGACGCTGGCGGGACCGAGAGCAGGGCCTCCCCGGACGATCTTAACGTCCTCGCCGGTTCATAGGTGGAGATGCGTTCGGAGAGGTAAGTGGGGCCGGAACCGTTTAGGGCTTTATAGGCTAAAGTCAGCACCTTGTGCCCGGTAGCAGATTGGCAGCCAGTGGAGCTGGCTCAGCAAAGGAGTGGTATGCTCCCTGAGTGCCGCTCCCGTTAGCAACCTGGCTGCCGCGCGCTGGACCATCTGAAGCTTCCGGGCAGTCTTCAAGGGCAACCCCACATAGAGCGCGTTGCAGTAATCTATGCGGGATGTGACAAGCGCATGGACTACCGTGGCCAAGTCAGACTTCCCAAGATATGGGCGCAGCTGGCGCACAAGTTTTAATTGTGCAAATGCTCCCCTGGTCACCGCTGAAACCTGGGGTTCCAAGCTTAGCGAAGAGTCCAGGGTCACACCCAAGCTGCGAACCTGCGTCTTCAGGGGTAGTGCGACCCCGTCCAGCACAGACTGTAACCCTATACCCTGTTCGGCCTTTCGACTGACCAGGAGTACCTCTGTCTTGTCTGGATTAAGTTTCAATTTGTTAGCCCTCATCCAGACCGTCACAGCGGCCAGGCACTGGTTCAGGACCTGAACAGCCTGCTTAGTAGCAGGTGGAAAGGAGTGACAGAGTTGGACGTCATCTGCGTACAGATAACACCGCACCCCGAAACTCCGGATGATCTCTCCCAACGGCTTCATGTAGATGTTAAACAACATGGGGGACAGTAGTGAACCCTGAGGGACCCCACAAGTCAATGGTTGTGAGGTCGAACAGTTGTCCCCCAACAACACCTTCTGGGTACGATCCTCTAGGAAGGACCT